ATACACCCTTACCTGTGCTCACCACTACCCCCAGGTGTCTAAACCAAAAATCACACTAAATAAATTAACCCAAATAAAGACTAACATATAAAGCAAAGAAATTAACTAAACAAATTATTATTAACTTAACAGAATATTACCACAAATATATACTTCTAATGTGAGCAAAATCATAATAAACAAATTAAATGACAAACTACAATTACTATATGCAAAAGACTGTGTAGCTCTAACACTGCATCTGTTCTTTAACGTGTGTGTGTGTGTGTGTGTGTGTGTGTGTGTGTGTGTGTGTGTGTGTGTGTGTGTGTGTGTGTGTGTGTGTGTGTGTGTGTGTGTGTGTGTGTGTGTGTGTTGTCTACAGTGACCTTCAGGGGAGCGGAGGCAGGCGTCTCTGTGTGAACATCGAACCTGCGCTGCTGCTAAAGGGCGACATCATGGTGAGTACACGTGGAAAGAAAATGAAAAACAATTAGATTAAATACATAAACTGATATATTTTCTTATGCCATATGCAATTGTAGACTGTAACCAAGTAACTTGTGCTTTCCTTCAGTATTTCCAGAATCCATTTCTTTACTCCACACATTTCTTCTTGATAACCTGAGTCATTTTGTAGATTCCAAATTAATAATACAAAATATAATGTAAAATAATGTATGATGTATTATTTTAGAAAAGCTTTATTGATCCCTTGTTTGATTGAATAAAAATCCCACCGGTTATATGGTAAAACCAATAATTATAATATAATAACATATTGTACAGCATCCTGCATTACCTTTTGTAAGTATATTTGGAAAGCTAAGGCTTTTGTAATTTTACTCATAAGGTATTGAATGCAGGGCTTGTATCAGAGTATTTCTGAACTAGTAACACTACTTTCACTTGAGTAAAATATCTAAATACCTCGAACACCACTGGCCAAATCTCCTCTCTGCAATACACATTTGTTTTGTGAACAAGGCATCACAATTTGTCCTTTTTGCATCCAGTAATTTTCAAAGTGTAGGTGTCAATCAGTTCGTAACACTTACCCCGTCAGTATCCCACATGCATTCTGAGCTGCGTCCCTCTTCCCTCTCTGCCGCCCCCTGCAGGTCAAATGCTACCACAGGCGAGTCCAGAGCGCAGACAGAGACACGGTGTTCAGGCTGCAGTTCCACACCTGCACCATCCACGGCTCCCAGCTGTGGTTTGGCAAACGGGAGCTGGACGAAGCTTGTGTTGGTGAGTTTCTATGGATGGATATTATATGGAGCATTTCCTAAGAGTTTTAGAATCCTCTTTTGTATAAGAAATGGATAATTGCTACTATATATCAGCTCCCCCTATTTGTTTACCGATCTACATTCATCAACCCTATCCCATTCCTTCTGGGCGGCCACAGTTCTTAGTTTTACTTGTGTAGTTTGGTAGAAATAAAACAGTTCCTACATTAAACTGCTGTGGATTATGTTTGGTATCTCTGTCATATGTTTTGAAAATAGACATATTTGTTGAATTTTTTCCAATGCACTTTTTGTGCTTTGAGCACAACAAGCCGAGTGCCTATATTGGTATCAAGGCGGACATCTTTATGCTTACTATCGCTTAATAAAATGATTCATGAACAGTCAGCAACTCACTTTAAAAGTTCAAGATTGAAAAATATCACTACATGTAAGAGGAAAAATATCTTCTTTTTTTTTTTTAAGGTGTACTGTACCTTTAAATCGACTGGGGGCACAACTTGTCTATTGTTGCAGGATAATCATCATACTACTGATTGTCATAATGTTTAGAAAGGCTCGTTGTGGGAATGTCTTCACAGTCGTTTGCTTCCTAAAATGGCCCCATTACTGTGGCTGAATAAATCCTTTAATAGTGGTAGCTTAATCCCCATACTGGACACTATTACAGCTCCCTGGAGGTGAGCATATAGAGAGTGAGTTGTACTGTGTGTGTGCAGGGAGGGAGTGTCTCCAAATATCCCTCAGAGACTGTAAAGGAGGCCCATTGAGCACTGCTCTGTGGATTAGGGCTAGAATAATAATGCTCATTTCCTCTTGGAAATGACATCCATTCCAATCCATTTCAGTAGATAAAGCTTTAGAAAAATATATATGAACACACTGTTGTTTTGTATTTCCTTTTCTTCAACCCAGATGAGCGTTTTCCCTCTGATGCCACAGTCGAGTTTGTCTTCTCTTCTGGACCTGAGAAAATCAAAGGTTGGTTCACTCTTCTTCAAATTCTCCTTATTACCTTTTCTAGATTTAAAGTTCACTTCCTATATTTACAAGGTTTCAAAGACAATATCATGTAAATGCTCAATCGGACTATACAACTACAAATGCAAATGAATGGAAATTGGACATGTCTTTCCCAGGTCGTGAGTACCATAAGAACGACCCGGCAGTCACTGTCGACTACAACACTGCTGACCCATTGGTCCGCTGGGATTCCTATGAGAACTTCAACGAGCGATACCAGGACAGCCTGGAAGGTAATTATTCTCTTCGTAGCCAACTTCAGCCTTATTTCAAGCATTACTAATAAGGAATAGTTCAAAGTAAGTTAGTAACAGACTTCTAGCAGATCTCAAGTAGAAACTAGTTGGGCACTCAGAAAGTGCAGATATTTGCCAAGCCAAAAATATCTATTTTTCGCAATAACGATAGTAAAAACTAATTAGTATTCCCCCCCTCTGCAAAATGAAATGGATTCTTCTTTCAATAAGTTTAATTTAGTCGGCCCAGTAGTTTTTCCAAATGTTAATCCCCCCAACAAACGGCCCAACAATTGGGTGGGGGTTAATGAAAGGACAGCCAAACCCTAAGAAAAAAACAAACATCAGACATCATTACATTGACGTTTCAGTTACAAGTGACAGGCACATTTCTCTCTTTATGTGTAGCCAATGAGATCTCTTAGTTTGAGAGCTGTTCTGTCTGTCTCTCCTACAGTAGACATTGCCCACACCAGAGGTCCTGTAGATGGCAGTCTGTACGCCCAGATAAAGAAGCGTCGAGGTCCCGGCTCTGGTTCTCTCTCCTCAACCAATGGCAGCAGCCTGGCGGGGGGCTTTGAAGAGGATAGGTCAGATCGTCTCATCGCTCAAGGTTCTGACTCCGCCCTCTCATCCCATTCCCACCATTTGCACCAATCATCCGTCCATCCTGAGCGCAAGGAGGAGCCTGTTCGCCCGCTGCCCCCAACCAGACAGGAAAGATTGGAGCTTGAACGTCTTTTGGGAGGGATAGAGGGGAACCGAGATGGAGAGCGAGAGACCGCCATCTTGGATGATGGAGATTCTTTGCCGTCTGAGAGAACGGGCACGCTGAGGCTCAACCGGTCGTGTTCTTGCCGGGACGGTTACCGGTCCCAGCGCTGTGCGGAACCCGGGTGTGACCGCACCCTCCTCATGCCTAATGGTTACTGCCTGGATCGCGCTCCCGGCACCAACGGGCACCACGGGGCGACTCCTTCTACCAGCCCCAACCCGGCTGCTCCTCCGTCCCACATGGATCTGTGCCAGCACTACAGCCCCCACCCCCACCAGACCCTCCCACCCCCAGATCTGGTGTGGGACCGCCAGGCTGGCCCACCGCACTACATGCACCGCTCCTGCTCGGAGACTCCCCCGTCTCGACACATCTGCCCTTACCCATCACCAGACCTCACCCCTCACTCTCACAACCACCCGCTCCATCACCCTCTGTCTGGCCCAGGACGTCTCTGCTGTCGGGAAGACGACTACACTCCCTATCATCCCCCTCCTCCACCTCACATCCTCCACCATGCCCACCCCCACCACCCCAAACCCTCCACCAGCCCGACCTACCATGACATAATGTTAATTGATGGTATGTCGCCCCCTGGATGCCCTTGCAGAGACTGCGGCATCAGGAGAGAAGACTCAGCGGCCTATCACAGCTTGAGGCTGGACCAAGGGGACGGCTTCCACTGGGACAGAGAGGCGGAGCTTCAGCAAAGGGAGGTGGGGCTTAGGAGAGCCAGGGAGGCAGAGATATCCAGAGGGTCAGAGCTCCACTGGGAGAGGGATCCTGGGCTGAGACGAGGCAGAGAGTTGTCCCTCCACTGGGAGAGGGACAGGGAGGCGGAGCTTCTGTGGGAGAGGGACAGAGAGGCCGAATATTGGCACAGGAGGGCCACCGTAGCCTCCTATGGTCCGCAGGGTCACGATCTCCCAGCCTTCACGTTTGACCCCTTGCCATCGGGTCACCCTGCTTATCCAGAAGCGTCGAGGTCCAACGCTCACTCCCACCTGGACCTGAAGTACAGCAGCAGCAGCAGCGGATACCAAACGCCCCGCCAGGTGTGCCCCTGCTCCCCATACCAGCCCTCGCCGTCTGAAAGCAGGGGCTACGCCTCTGGGTACCAGTCCGAGTCCACGTCCCCGCTGCCCCCGGCCTCCTCCATGACAGGGCCCTGCAGCCATAGCAACGGGCAAGCAGAGCATAACCACCACCACCACCACCATCCGGACTCACAGCAGTCATACGGCTCTGACTCACACACTGGTGAGTCACGGTGAAACAGAGACCTTCAGACTTGTGTTTTCCCATAACAGAGTGTATAAATGATCCACAATCAACAACAGCCTGCACTGAATCATTTACGCTAAACTAGACAGATTCCATACACTTAACTCACAAATTGTCTCAATCTGCCACCAAAGCAAACATTGGCAGTAAAGAATATCTTATAACCCCAAATATACAAATAATATGTGTACTGACTTTACGTTTTTATGAATGTGTTCTATCGTTCCCTTCCTTTTCAGACGGCCTTCGTAGTTCCGGGGAAAGTGTGGGCTGGAGAGATCACATTACCCACGGTTCCTTTAAGAGGGTCCACAGAGACAACCATGCACCATGCTCCACGCCGTCCGACATGTCTGGACCGCCAACTCCTGTACACACCAGCAGCCCGCTACGCACACAGGAGAGGTATTCAACGCTCACTCTTTCACTTAAAGGGACAGTAGTGTCAGTTTGAGTTATCCTCACTGTCAGGGAAAGGGAACGTTTGGATGGTCTGAAGTACTTCAAGATGTCCATCATAGTCTTGTTGTCCAATGTCTTCTGTTGGCAATACACTGACTCCATCTTAAACACAGCCTGGTATCTGCTATAAATAAGACACCTTGTTATCATGACTTGGCCCGCATTATTTCTTTAGATTTTGATGAGACTTTATTCACACCTGGAAGAGATCTGATCACAATGAGAGCCAGACCACCTTCAGAAGGCTGATCTGGCTGATCCCATTCCACACATTCTTTCATCATCAGGTGTATATTATCCAACAACGATATCCAGATACAAGTTGCAGGTTACGGCAAGATCAACATGGGGTATTGATAAGAATAAAGATTCAATAAAGGATGTCAAATAAGAACTTTTAGAAATATTGGTGATTACTGTGATAGTAATTCTCTTTTGTGTCCATTGAAGCCCCAGTCCAGGAGGAAGAGAGTACGAGATCCGGACCACAGACATCCTCAGCAGTGACTACGAGGCCCCCCAGCCCCAGGAGGGACACCATCGTGCGGATATCATCGTCCAATCCCTGGAAAGCCAAAGAAGCAGCACAGACCTGCCATCGCTACCGCAGACAACCAAAGACACACAACCAAACATAGCCGCACCTGTTCTACCCCAGAACCACTGCACTGCACCCCCTGACCGCTCCCTCACTGCCCCCCAACAGCATCACTGTAGCCCAAACACACCGTCAGCTTTGAAGACGCAGAACACTTCTTCTTTTGATTCTGCAACACCGAACACAACAAACCAGGCCCTCTGCCAGGCTCCTTCATCCCCTTTCCGTGCTTCGTCTGTACCGGGTACAACCCCACAACCTGACATCACAGTCCAGACCCCCCATCCTTCAGAAGCTGCTGATCTAGCATCCAATGGGGAACAGACAGTGCCCCAGACTCAGAGCCAAACCCAAGGCGCCAGACAGACCTCAGCACAGGTCAACGGACCTTCTCAACCATCTCAACCAGAAACGGAAAAACCAATGACCCCGAACACAACGCCTGCTCCTGCATCTCCTAACAAAGCTTCATCATCATCACCCCCACAGCCAGCCTCCAGCAGCGGGGAGGGCTCCCCAATCTCTGACACCCCAGTTCCGGGCTTTGCCACTTTGGGTAGGAGGTTGATGTTGAGTGGGTCAGACCCCCATCATCCGAACCACATCCAGCACGGACCCCAACACCACCACTACCCAGGCATGGAGCACAGCGCTGCCGGACACTCCTCTGCACTGGGCACCAACAAGAGGCCCTGCTACTCAGCTCACCCCCCTCAGCTCTATCCATCCTCCTACTCCAACTATTCCACCATCTCCATCCCGCTGCCTCACCCCCAGCCACCTCTGCCAGAGAAGCGCCACCTCCCGGTCCAGCCAGGTTCCCCCAACGACAGCGTGGGAACTCTGAGGACAGCTGGAGGACACGTGACTCCCTCCAACGGCAGCACCGCCCAGCATCAGCACCATGTCACATTCTCTCCCACCGTGGGGGAGATTGCAGCCCCAGCAGGCAAAAATGATGCAGCGGCGTCGGTGGAGAGCGAGAACAGGGTCAGTGTGAAGTTTGTCCAGGACAGTTCCAAGTTCTGGTACAAAGCCGGCATCTCCAGAGAGCAAGGTAGGTCTGAGAAGAGGGAACTCTTTCATTACTCTGATGTTCTTTTGCTTAATTATGACTGAAGGTTTTGTTTGTACGGACACTCTTCTAGTGACAATCCATTTTCAAAATCATATTTGTTTCGGTTACTGTGTGAATTGTTTTTATTTAAACCTGTTACGCAGGTGGGGAACATATATTTGTCTAGGTTGATTTAGTTTCTAATTCAAATGAAAAAGTAAAACTGAATCTTGTTGTATGTCCTAACCTAAGTGAATGAACGTGTCCTAAAAGTGGCAGATTAAAATACATTTCTGGCCAAAACATGACAGTAATGGTACATGACTTACTATCTAATAAATATATAACTTTTAGAACCAAATTTGAAGAAGATGCAAATGCTTCAAACACTATTTTACTTTTTTCCACCTGCTCTAGAGTATAATAATAAGAGCGGAGAAAACCACTAGACCAGCCTTTTTTCTGAATTGTGTTTGCCTGCCAGGGCTTCCGTACATTTGCTATGATCAGACACATTTCAGTAGATATATGAACATGTTGGTTGTGTTTTCTCGCAGCAATTGCAGCCCTGAAGGAGAGAGAGCCAGGAACCTTCCTGATCAGGGACAGCAACTCTTTCCAGGGGGCCTACGGCCTGGCCCTGAAGGTGGCTACACCCCCTCCCAATGCGAACAACCACAACAGCAAGGGTAAAAAGGGTTTGCGTCATTTAAAAATGAAATATTTACATTCTCTCCTCTACTCTCCTCTCCACAGACTAGCCAGGCTATTTGATATTACATTTGATGTGGCAGTTGCTTTGTCCGTAGGTAGACAATAACACTTGTTTAAAGTGAATCTGTGCAGTTTCAGTGAGCGACCCTCTGGAACAGCTGGTCAGACACTTCCTGATAGAGACGGGCCTTCGGGGAGTCAAGATTAAAGGATGTCAGAACGAGCCCTACTTCGGTATGTTTTCCTGAACCAGCTTCAGAATGCTTTTCATATCTGTGTCTCATGGGAAAAGATTGAAAAGCCAATAATGGGGCATGCAGCACCCAATAATGTAATCATTTCCTGACAATGTCAACTAAATAAAAAATAAAATTGCAATCAACCTGATCAATATTATATTTAGACAAAATTATGTTACGAATAAAGTAATACAATGTTCCT